GGAAGTATGCAGGAGGCTAGTTTGAACCATGTTCGGCTATCTTGATCCATGCTTGGAGGCCGTCTTGGGCTGCCGAAGTCCCTCTTGGAGCCATCTTGGGCCCATTTTGAATCCCCTCCCCCCTTCCCGTGCCCAGGGGAGGGGGCAGGGGCAGGGGTAAACCCCTCCTCCGAGCAGCGTAAGTTGGGGGAGAGAAGGCACAACTAGTTGAACCATTCGCTCACGAAAAGGCTGGTGGGATACCGAGGACTCTAAGGGACCTGGTGGGGCCGCTGGCAGCACCACCACGCACGGGGCTCGTGCCGCGGTGAGGGCCCGGCCCAGAGGACGAGAGCCGCGCCCCTGGTTTGAGATTGCTGCATCCCTCCAGCATTTCCTCTTGTAGCCATCCTGTTCCCCTCGCCCACCGAATGCATGTAGTCGTGTGTCGTCAGCTGGTGTTGATCGGGACGGCGACAGCTCACGAGTGACATCTGGAGTGCGACCGCCCTCCTGTCGCGAACTGGGTACGTTTTCTCCCCGACAGTGCCTCCCTCTCTGGCACTTGATAGCGCTGGCATGTTTCTGTTCCGTTGTCTGGCCGCCGCGCTGGTCGTGGCCTGTCGATGTCAAGTGAGCCGATACAGCGCAAAAGAAAAGCATCTGGCACACGTCTTGCCTTGTGAGGGCATCGTGGATTGCCCCTGACCGACTCACCATTGACCATCCACTCACCACGAGATACTAGACAGATCGCCTCATCATGCCCTGGGTCGAGCAATTACAGGCTTGCACAGAAGGCTCTCCCTGTGTTGGCTGAGGTGGGCGTGCCAGTCGTACCCAGTCTGACCATTTCCCAGGCCTGCCCAGGCAGGACCCGTAAACAACTAGCGCATCCGTTGGACCCCTCGTTGCCCCTCCCCATGCCCGCCAGGTGGCCCAGCACGCGTCGCATCATCATAAGGGCCTGAACAATTTCGGAAGCTTCCCCGTGACGCTGATGATTTTGGAGTAGCTTGGTCCCAAATTTACCGATCGCTGGCGCATCACTCGGTGCAGTGCAGACCGTGATGTCGCGCACGGACATCGCATGTACGTTTTCTCTCAGCCTAGTTGGCACAGTTGAGAGGTCAATCTCGCAGCGGTTTCGTTTCGCGCATGTTCCGAGCCCACCAACCGCATAGGCCTAGTTGGCCCGAATGTTCCAGCCTACCATCGCGCATGCTCGTTCCCTCAGTTTGAGCTGGTGCGCGTCACGAGCCCGCGGCGTCTGCATATAGTTTGACCTGGTTGCGCTTCGCAGGCCGCCAGCCCCATGTCTACCTTAGCGCATACTGCCTTTGCGCCGCATCGCCCATGCAGCTCTCGTTGCGTCCAGGCCAGACTCGGACCGCGGACGACCCCTGTCGCGGCGCATGCGCGTGGCCTCCTGCTCCGCGCGCCGAGTGGCCCCGCGTGCCGCGCTCGCGCGCCGTGGGCATGCCTGTGGACCCCGCCGCGACCCGGGCTCGCACGCGGGGCCTCTGCTCGGCGGGGGGGCGCGGCCGAGACCGCGGCGACCCTCCCGCCTGGCCCACCGCCCCCTCAGCATCGGCCCACGGACGCCTCTCGGGAGCTCCCTGCGGGCCCCTCGGGAGCTCCTGGGCGCCTCTTGGAGCCTCCCGGTTGGCCTCTTGCCTCTTGGGGCGGAGGACTCGGATTGTCGGTTCGCTTTCTAGGGGGCCACACGCGAACCTTCCCCTACCCCCCCACGATTGCTGAGGGGGAGGGTGGGGTTCACGTCGTTCGGGAGCTCCCGAGCGAAGTGAACCCTACCCTCTCCATCAGAAATCGCGGGGGGTAGGGGTAGGGCTCGCATGTGGCCCCCTATGTTCGTTCTCTTGAGCCCTTTGGGGGCCGTCTTGGGCCCCCTCTGGGCTTTTTCTCGTCGCGGACCTCTGGCCTTTTTTGCGACGGAGAGCCTCTTGATATTTGGGATCTCCTGGGCGCCTCTTGGGGCCTCCTGGGGGCTTCTTGATTCTTGGGGCGGAAGGCTCGGATTGTCGGTTCGTGTTCGTTCTCTTGAGCCCTTTTGGGGGCCGTCTTGGGGCCTTTTTGGGGCTTTTCTCGTCGCGGACGTCCGGCCTTGTTGCGACGGGGAGCCTCCATGGAGGCCCCGACGGGACGGGCAGCGCTCGGGAGGGCTGGCGTCGTCTCGGCTGGCCCTCCAAAGCCTTCCCGGTCGTGGCCTTCGTCGTCCTCGTCGTCGTCCTCGTCCTCGTCCTCGCCGTCGTCGTCGTCGTCGTCGTCGTCGTCGTCGTCGTCGTCGTCGTCGTCGTCGTCGTCGCTGTCGTCGTCGTCGTCGTCGTCGTCGTCGTCGTCGTCGTCGTCGTCGTCGTCGTCGTCGTCGGCCACGCCGCCCGAGTAGAGGGGGTAATGAGTAGTACATGCACGTAGGAGGAGGAGGAGGAGGAGGAGGAGGAGGAGGAGGAGGAGGAGGAGGAGGAGGACAAGAGGAGAAGGAGGAGGGGGAGGAGGAGGAGAGGAGGAGGAGGAGGAGAAGGAGGAGGGAAGGAGGAGGAGGAGGTTGGGAGGAGGAGGAGGAGGAGAGGAGGAGGAGAAGGAGGAGGAGGAGGAGGAGGAGGAGGGGAGGAGGAGGAGGGGGAGGAGGAGGGGGGAGGAGGAGGAGGAGGAGGAGGAGCAGGGGGAGGAGGGGGAGGAGGAGGAGAGGGAGGAGGAGGATGAGGAGGAGGGAGAGGAGGAGGAGGAGGAGGAGGAGGAGGAGGAGGAGGAGGACTAAAGGGACTAAAGGGCTGACGACAACGAACGTCGAGGAGGAGGAGGAGGAGGAGGAGGTGGTGAGGCGGGCAATGCAGTGCCCTGCCCACCCAGGCCCAGCATCTCGAAAGGCAGAAGCCATTCTCCAACGCCCAAGGCGGAAACCCGGCCGCGACGACGAGGGGCCTCCATGAAGGCCCAGACAGGACGGACAGCGCTTTGGAGGGCCGGCGTTGCCTCGGCATGGGGTCGGAGTAGATGGGGTCGGAGGATCGCGCCGAATCGCCGATGCATCGGCGATGCTGCTCGAGAGGCCGACGTGGCCAGTGCATGGCCAGTGCATGGCCAATGCATCGCCGACGCATGGCCGATGCATCGCCGATGCGTCGCCGATGTGTCGCCGATGCGTCGGCGATGCGTCGGCGGTGCGGTGCGATCCTCCGATCCATCCGCTCCGATCCCATCTATGAGGCCCAGAGCCTCCAAACCCTCGGGGGGCTGGGTCCCGCCTCCGTCAAGGCCCTCCTGCAGGCCCACTCGGGAAGACAAGGATGGGGGAGGAGGAGAAGGAGGAGGAGGAGAAGGAGGAGGAGGACGAGGACGAGGAGAAGGAGGGGGAGGAGGAGGAGGAGGAGGAGGAGGAGGAGGGGGAGGAGGAGGAGGAGGAGGAGGGAGGAGGAGGAGGAGGAGGAGGAGGAGGAGGAGGAGGAGGAGGAGGAGGAGAGGAGGAGGAGAGGAGAGGAGGAGGAGGAGGAGGAGGAGGAGGAGGAGGAGGAGGTGGAGGAGGAGGTGGGGGAGGAGGGCCTCTGGCCCT